TGACGAGAAAGCATGGAGCCGGCTTTCTGGCCAATCAGGAAGCTAGGCGCCGTGTAATGACGCGACACCCGCCTTCCTGATTGGCCAGGAAGCTGCTTCCTGATTGGCCAGCTTCCCGAACAATCAGGAAGCCGGGCAGCGAGTCATTACATGCTGCCTGGCTTCATGATTGGCCGGGAAGCCGGCTCCATGCTCCCTCGTCATAAGTGACGAGGGAGCATGGAGCCGGCTTCCTGGCCAATCAAGAAGCTGGGCAGCGTGTAATGACTCGCTGCACGGCTTCCTGATACCGGAAGTATCGGGCTAGGCAACGGAGCATTCGGGCCAGTACAAGTACTCGCCCAAATACTCGGCATAAGCACCGATACTGATACTAGTATCGGTGCATCCCTAGTTTCCGATAGAGACTACAAGATGCAGTTTCAACACACGTTAGGCGGACATGGTCCAATGTTGTCACCATAAATACCACGCTGCCATCGCTGTAGTGCATGCAGACAGGAAGTGGCTGCAGGAGATTAAATAATGCAGGATCTCCATTGCAAGACAGGGACAGAGTGTTGTCACCCGATAACAGGAAATGTCTGAACATGGGCCTTCATTGCAGGATCAACAGGGATTATTTCAAATATTTACTTGCAGAGTATGTGCCTTCATACCAGCAGTAGGCAACCCTTGGACCTCCAGCTGTGGTAAAACTACAAATCCCTCATGTTCCTGCCTCTGGGAGTCATAGCTGGGGCTCTCAGTCTTGCAATGCCTCATGGGAGTTGTAGTTTCAGGGCCTCAGCTTGGTTACACCTGGAATGAGCTGATGTCTGACTGTACAGTACAGATATATACAATGTTACATTTCCAGGAAGAACAATCGTTGGGATCTGACTCCACAAGTGACCCAAGAGTGACAATTCCGGGTCTCCGTTGGGCGGATTCGGTGACTTCACGGAGATTCCGGTAAGGATTTCTCCACAAGGCCTCCTCCGGCTGATTACATCCAGACCTGATTGTGAATGTTATCTCTGATGACCCGTCAGCTCTCCAGACCCCTGAAAAGCCCTTTCCAGCGAGCCGATCAATATGTAACCGTATGAATGAATCATCTTTCTAACGACGTTCGGATGAATCAATCGAGAACAGTAACAGTGAGCCGCTGAATGATGGATACAATTAACATGATTTACAAACAGTTACTGGCATCAAGGATACGATGAATATTTTAATAGATATTAAATAAGGAACCATATGGCGGGCCAATAAACTAGAAAGATCGCCAACCCTCATCTGCTATAATCTGGCCTGACATTAAGACTATTGTGCATGTAAAACCTATACAGGCTCTTCAAGTATCTCTGCACAATGGGATGGGGGTCACCTCTTTTTTTTTATTGCTCATTTACAGGACTGACTGTAACCAACAAATGATGTGGCTGAGATTTCAGATCATGTTGGCTGTGTGATTGCCTAAAATAAAGTTAGACGCTAAGGGTGGAGGCTCTGTACGGGAACAACACACTCTCCACAGTCTCTGATGTCGTGAAACTCCAACATGGCTAATGATAGCTAGAGATTATGTGGTCTTGGTCTGGGCTTTATGGGAGATGATTTTTGTTCACAAAAAAAATGAGAGAGAGAGAAGTGAGAGATGAGAGAGAGAAAAGAGAGAAGTGAGAGAGAAAATAGAGAAGTGAGAGAGAAAATAGAGAAGTGAGAGACAAAAGAGAGAGGAGAGAGAGAAGTGAGAGAGAAGTGAGAGAGGAGAGAGAGAGAAGGGAGAGAGAAGTGAGAGAGGAGAGATAAGGGAGAGAGAAGTGAGAGAGGAGAGAGAGATAAGGGAGAGAGAAGTGAGAGAGGAGAGAGAGATAAGGGAGAGAGAAGTGAGAGAGGAGAGAGAGAGAAGGGAGAGAGAGAAGGGAGGGAGAGAGAAAAGGGGGGGGGGGGGGAGGAGGGGGGGAGGGGGG